AAGCATTTCACACCAGTGAATATAGGCAAACAACCCCCTCCTCCAAAATACCATAAATATTGGGAAAGGCATTATTTAAAGTGAGGTGGATGGGTATATTTAAATATATAATAATATGCAGCTCTGAAAGTAGCATGTAGTTTGTAACAATTTTTCATTCATACACACACCTTCCTCACCTAAGCGTGTCTGCCAACTTCTCAAACCACTGATATCTGTCCATGTTTAAGTGGTCAAGACCTAACTTCTAACAGGATAGGGGTTAGTTTACATTCTCCTCTCTAATTCCTAATCCTTAAGATTCACCTCACAGCGTTCCCAGCAGTGACCTCTAAAAAATACAATTTTTTTTAGTTAAAACTCTTTGTTTTATTTAACTCATGTAACAAACTGCATTGGGCAGCATGTCAGACTGCTGGGCTGAATGGGCAAGAAAGGCTTGAGTGTATCTCCGTACAAAAAAGTTTAGTTTATTGCTTCCAGAAACTCAATGCAATTCTAATGTTGCCTTGACAGTATAATGTTCACTAACCAGCTTGTTCCTGATGTCCATATCACACAATGCCTCAGCCAAGATAGAGCAAGCTTCTTTTATTCCCCAGTGTGCAGCAGCATGGAGAGGAGTCCAGCCATCATTGTCCTGGACATTTAAATTAAACCCCGCTTGGATCAAGAGCCTAAGGAAAGAAATAAGAATGATTTCCCTACTCACAAGGTTCATACCATGTGACACACAACAGGTAGCATGGTAAATATTTAACTGGCTTATATTTTCATTCATACTTAAAGAATCTTCTGGGCATGTTTACTGTCATAACAGATAAGGGACAATATGACAAAAGTCAAGTCCCTTCCCCTGTACACTGCACTAACCACCTGAAATATACCTGTGTGGTAAAAACCCGCTTACATGTGCTGAATGGCAAACTGGCTTTGGTGGAACCAAAAAGGGAAAACCAGTTCCCTAGAAAGACATTGTATTCTAGTCTGGGATCATCTGGCCAGATAGCTCCTGACACTTGGAACTGTTGGGTACAGCACACAGGGAGAAAAAGTAGTTGCAACTGCCACAAGAAGCCAATCAAGGCCTTGCATACCAGAAATCCCATTATTCTAAATGATACGTTGTGTACAAAAGTACTAAATATGTTCTGGGCAGGGGCCACTAAGCAAACAGCTTGAGGACAGAAACCCTGCAAGGACCAAACAAAGCTACTGTCGAAGAAAGAGGGTATTTTGACAGTGCAGAGTGACTGGCAAGTTTGGAAAAACCTTAGGCAACAGCACTGTGAAACACGAGAGCAGCAGCAGTCTAGGGAAGCCTACATTGGATAAGGAGGACAAAAATGATCTCTGCAGCCTGGGGACATTCTGCATAACAGAGCCAACACAAACCCTGAGCAGCTTAAAAAACAGAAAAGTCCCAGTAGAGGCCATAGTAACAAAAAAACAGGTGATTTCCAGACTAGAGAAGTCGGACACGGGCCCTACCGCAGATCACAACTGTACTCTAGGGTCTGTAAAGAGTCAGTGGAGGCAGGACTACCAAGGGGGAAGCAGTTACTGCCTGTGACTGACCAATGAGTTAATGAGAAACAACACACAAGTCAGATTTCAAAAAGGCCGAGTTAATGAACAAATACAACACCCTCATCAGGATTTCAGACAATATAACAGTAGACAGGACTTCTACAGTAAAGCAAGTCTTTTTCCCAGGCAGCTTTTCTGACATTCTCCTTCATAACTGGGTGCCAGTGTGCTTGGCAAAAATTCTTAAGGTCAAAATTTTCTAAAATAGTGTTCAAAGTTCAGTCCTCAGGATATTATTGTCAAAGATGCTTAAATTATTTGGGAGCAAGTAAGACCACCTTTCAGTCACCATGCTTAAGCATCAAAACAGACTCTCAGTTTCAAAGATGCTGAGAACCACCCAGAAGCTTAAATATTTTGGGAAGTCACAGCAGAATCTCTATGGTCTGAATCAGTTAACTGATCATAAGTGAAGTATGCTGCTTTCATAATGCTATCAATCCAGGAAGCAAAGGTGACATTTGTGCTGCTTTTACACACATGCTTCACTGTGTCAAACCATAAAGTTACTGTTTGAGACATCAAAACAATTTGTTTCTTTATGAAAACTCAGCTGAAATGTTTTACATCATTGAGTTCTCACTTGAACCTGATTATCCAGCAGGAGAAAGGGAGGAACATGGCTGAGACAAAAGCCTGAGGTCATACAGCAATTCTGTACCTTATTCAGAGTTCCCTAGCTCCTGGTTCTCTGCTGTTTGGGTTTGGTCCTGAGACCTGAGAGTTGACCCTGCAATTGATAAAAAGACTAAATCCTGTTTCACCTCCATGTGCTTAAGCGGCACTTACCTAGTCCCCTAACTAGATCTTTTGGCTCTCATGCACAGGTTGAATTCTACTTAGCTATATATGTCCAGCACTTTCCTGTTGAGCATGCTTAGTAGGCCACACTCTGGCTGCACAGATGCACAGAGAGTAGCACTGCTCAAGCACATGTTCAGCACTAAGTCTCAAAATTGTAGTCACCAAACCCCACCCACCACACTGGCAGATGCTTGCTGCCAGAGGATGTGGAGGGCCCTCCCACATTTTAGCCAAATAGCCTTGCTGCCAGAGGATGTGGAGGGCCCTCCCCCATTTTAGCCAAATCCCCTAAATGATTAGGTCACTTGCTGAGGAAGAAGGAAACCTGGCTCTATACCCCCCCTGGCCCAGAGGGGTTGCAACCTTCATCTACTGTTTCTTGTAAAAGTGCGCTAACAAGAGGCTAAGCATTAAACAATGGACTCTACAGACATACTCCTGAAGCCGGCCTAGTAGGCAGCCAGAAAGGGAAGTGAAGCCAAAAGGTGAACACACCAAAGAGAAGGTAGCTCAATGAGATGGAGACTGCACTGGAAAAAAAGGGGCCCTGCTTCTAGCCAGGTGTTCAGTATAGGCATCATTTGAGCTACTTACATTTATAAATGAAAAATAGGAGTTCGATGCATAGCTCTTCAGAGCCTCCAGAAATACCAACCTGGAACCTTTACCGCACTGCCCCACAAAACAAATCCCACCCTCAACTGCAGCACTAGAAGCATCCCACATTTCAACAAAACTGAACGCTATGCACTGACCAATACAAAGGAGTTCTTACCTCATAACTTCAGAGTAGCCCTTTGCTGCAGCTACATGAAGAGCAGTGGCACCTGTGCGGGACTGCTTTACAACTTTAATTTTCCCACTGTTTAGCCACTGCCGTGCATCCTGCAGCATTTGTTGCTCTTCCTCTTTTCTTGCCAAGTCCAGATCTAGTCCTATAGAAGCAGAGGACAACCAGTCAAAAGAAAGGCTCACATTAATATTTTCATACTACATATAAAGCAAGTCTAACATTATTTTTGACCATTTAGCAATATATTCCACAAAGTTAGTAAAAGTTTTCTATGAAGTAGGAAAACTGCTGCATATACTCTATGAATACAGAGGTTCATAGAAAAGTGGGGTGAAAGGGACCTCATGAGGTCACCTAGTCCAGCACTGTGCTCAAGTCAGTAATCATCCCTGACAACCACCCCAGTCAAGTGTCTGTCTAACCAAGTGGTTCTCAACCTCATTAGACTCAAGGCACCCTCAGAAAATGCAAGCTCTGTTTTCACTCATTTTTTGACCACAGAAAAACAATAAAGCACTACTTCTGCTGAGAAAAACTCAGAAAGGCCACAACAGGTCAGAATATTTTTAACACTACTGATTTCTGTTTGATATCTCTGGGTTTATCTTGTAAATTATGTTTGCACACTTAACAGTGCTAAGATTGTGTGGTATGCTGGGGCACCCGTGAAAGACTCTCAAAGACCCTATGGTGTCATGGCATCCTGCTAAGAATCACCGGTCTAACCTGTTCTTGAAAATTTCCTGGGATGGAGATTCCACAACTTCTCTCGGTAACGTGTTCAAATGCTTAACCACCCTCGTAGTCAGAAAGCGCCTCCTAATCTCGAATTTAGATTTCCTCTGGTGCAATTGGAGGCCATTGCCCAAGTCCTGTCCCTTACAGGAGTTTGAAAACTTATTGAATCTCCTCCCCAGTTTTCTGTTTTTCAAACTGAATAACCCAAGCTCTTTCAGTCTTTCCTCATAAGTCATGTTTCCCAGGCCTCCAAACACTTTTGTCACTCTCCACTGAACTTTTTCCAATTTGTGCACATCCATCTTGAAGTCTGGGGCCCAAAAACTGGATATATTACTTCAGGTGAGGCTTCATCAGTGCTAAAGAGTGGAAGAATCTGTGAATCACTTCACTTGATTTACAAGATTTTGTATTTTCAAATTTGGCAGCAAGAAGTTAATAAATCTATCAAATCTAGGGTTGTACTATCTGACCAGACAACAACAGACTTAGTACATCTATTTAAATAAGCAAAAGGTCAAGGTAACTACAGGCCTGTTACTCTGACCTCAACACTATGCTGGCTTTGGAACAAGTTTTGGAAGAAAAAGACCTGGAGGTAAATGAAAAATGGGACTGAATACAGCAAGGATTTACCAAAGATAAACTGTGCCAGAATAATTAAATGCAACTAAATTTTTAGATAGAGGAAATGTGGTAAACCTCATTTGGACTTTGGTCAAGCATTTCATAAAGAGTCAAATAAATTAGTTAAACCAGAGAAAATACAGCATAGTACAAAAATTGCTAGCTGCACCTTTTCATGATGTACAAAAAGGAGACAAGCTGCCCTGAAAGGAGAAGTACTGGATTAAGAAAAAGTTATTACAAAAGTCCTTTGAGGGTGGGTCCTGGAACCAATATAGCTATTTTTTGACCACGGCACAAGAAATAGAAGCTTATGAAATTTGGTGATGACAGGAGACATCATTTAACTCAGAGGTGGACCAAAAAGTAACTGAATATAGAAGAATTATAGTAACTGAGGGCTGGTCAACTACAAAAGTTAGGGGAGGAGATGGATCTTGATTTACAGGTTAATCTCAGGATCACTGAGCCACCAGTGTGTGGCACCTATAGTGCAAATATACCACTAAGGCTAGGGACAGACATTACACATAAACCTGTTTAAGTGATCAGAAACTGGTTTAAGTCTGTTACAGAACAGATGTTCAGTGCATATAAACCCGTTTGAAAATGGCTGAACCTGGTTTGAGATAAACCTGGTTGAATGTAGTATCAGACTTAACTGATTTGGGTAAACCAGTTCATGCAATGTCTGTACCAGACCCTTTGCTGGTTTAAGTTAAACCAGACACCCCCAGCATCCCGGCATACTCTCTGGGCTAGGCGCTCTGCTCCACAGCAAAGCTGGCCCCTTTCCTCTGCTCCCTGGCCAGAGTTCTGCTAGAGAGTTGCAGGCACAGCAGGGTCTGCTGACTTCCCAGTGTTCCCTCCCCACCATCCTCCTTAACACTTGCTGCTTAAGCAGAGATCCTTTCCTCCTCTCTCCCACAGCATGGACTGTAGCCAGCATGGTGGTATGCCAGCTAATGCTGTGTAAGACAGATAGGACAGTGTCCGCTTAGGGCTTTTTGGAGGTAATCAACAACTCAGATGGTAATGTCCCTGCATTCCTTCCTTTGGAAAAAAGCTATTTAAGAGCTTGTAATGAGCAAGGCTTTGTTTTCTGATTGGGTGTTAAATGCTGATAACAAATGCTCTGTTATTGGGGGAGGGGGGTACACCCCTCCCTAATCACAGAGACTTGCCTGCCCATGCCCACGGTCAGTTCAGCCCTGGGGAAGGGAGGCCTCCTTTAGTGCCCCCCAGCTTCTAGCCTGAGCCACTGCCGGCATACACCTACATTTCTGGGATGTCTGTCTGGTTACATAACTGATTTAGCCTAGCCAGGTTAGACTAACCTGCAAAGATTGAATCAATTCAGGCTCAGGCTTTCTGAATGTCTGTCCCTAGCCTAAGAGAGTGAGGAGAGGTGTTTTGCACAAGGCACTGGGTAAGACCTCAAACAGATCGCTGCATATAATTCTGGTCACCCATGTCCAAGAAAGGTGAATTCCAGTGGGGACAGGCACAGAGAAAGGCTCCTACGATGATCAGGAAGTACAGAGCCTGTTTTATGAGGAGACTAACAGAGCTTGGCTTTATTAGCATAGCAAAATGGAGACCGAGAAGAGATTCAATCACTCTACGAATACCTGAAAGGGATAAACAGCACCAAGGAGAACTATTTAAGCTACTTGACAAAGATGGCAGAAAACCAAAACAGGAATGAACTAGCCATAAATAAATTAAAACCAGAAATTAGAAGATTTTTACCATCCAGACTGGTCTCACCACACTTATCAGAAGGGGCTCAAACATGCTAACTTACCATTCTCTAACTTATAAATTCCATCTGAAAGTACTGTGTTATGGTTGCTTGCAGTAACAGGGGACTAGTCCCTATAACAGGGGTCAGCAACCCCTGGCATGCGTGCCAAGCGTGGTACGCAAGGCCATTTTGCTTGGCACGCCACACCCAGCCCCGGCTCTGGGTAGCTGCTGCCAGTGACCCATGCTGCTCCCAGAAGGGCTTGCAGCGTCCCAGCTACCTGCTGGGAGCAGCCCAGGATCCTGGCTGGCAGCAGCTCCCCAGAACTAGGGCTTGCTGCAGCCGGGAGGCTCCAAAACAGCTGTGCCTGGCTCTGGCACCAGCTCCGCACCGGTGCGTGCAGGCATGCCTTGGAGCAGGCGGTTGGGGAGGGGTCTGAGGCAGTGCAGCCCTGGTCTCTCCCTCGCTCCCGGCGTGGAGGTGATGAGCCCGGCACAGCTGTTTGCACTCTGCTCGCTGCTTGCTGCAGCTGTCCCGAGCCTGGGCTAGCTACAAACAGCTGCACCGGGCTCATCACCTCCATGCTGGGAGCAGGGGAGAGACTGGGGCTACACTGCCTCAGGCCCCTCCCCCACCACCCACTCCAGGGCATGCCTGCATGCGCTGGTGCGCAGCTGATGCCGGAGCCTGGCACAGCTGCTTGGAGCCTCCCAGCTGCAGCCAGCCCCCACTCTGGGGAGCTGCTGCCAGCCAGGAGCCCGGGCTGCTGCAAGCCCTGCTGGGAGCAGCCCGGGCTTCAGCAGCTACCCAGAGCCAGGGTAGCTGCTGTCAGCCACAGAGCCTGGGCTGCGGGGCATGGGCTTTGGGTGGGGGGCAAGGAGCAGTAGGGCTGGGGGCAAGGGGCACAAGCAGGGCATCCTGCCATGTACCCCTTGCCCGCATTTTGTTTTTCTGCCATGCCGGCACACCTGCACCTTAGGCATTATGGTGTTTTTTGGCACTCCGGCCAAAAAATGTTGCCTACCCCTGCCCTATAAGATCCTACCTCAAAGATAATTTAGGCACAAAAGTAGTCAGCATAATGCCTAAACAGCGTATGTGGGTTAGGGCTGGATTCATTCCAGAACACAAAACTAAGGCAGCACCAACATCATTAGTAAGCTATGCAACAACTAAGCTGAGTTAAATAGGTCTTGTTTCCAAGGGAATACAATCAAACTCAAAAAAAGGTTACATTTTCCATAGAAACTCCTGGTTGAACCTTCTAGGCAGGCTTTCAAGTTTCTTTCTAAGCTACACAATTACAGCTTTCCAACTGCTAGTGAGAACTAGAAAACTTCCTTTGGAGGCCAGAGCTCCACCAATTAGTCAAGAATTTAAGTTTTCGTTTTTTATAAAGGATGAATTTCTAACCACTGTGGTTGCTTCAAAATTGGAAGGACTGCAGTGGGATCTTCCTAAGTCTACAAATAAACTTGTTTAAATGACTCTACTTAGAGCTCTGCCATCTTGCAGGGGTAGTCATACTGCAAGTGCATAGCTATACCAATTCAAAAACAGTCAGGGCAGAGAGCGCCCTAGAGTTTACTGCATATTTAGGCTTTATCTGTATGTTGGCATGCTAACAACAGTGTTGTTACATGGATGGAAACTCCTAGCAGAAACAAGTCACTATTGTAAAAGGCAACCTTACACCAGTGCAACTCATATCACTTTCAAGCGAAGATATGCTGTACAACATACAATTACTTTTTGTATTAATGCAGTCTACAAATATTAGATGTGTGCACCAGTGAAGACAAGGCTTGTCACTAACCATGAAGAACCAGGTTGCCATATTTTTTTTCTTGCTTAGAATGGAGTGAAAATATTCTAATAAGTCTCATTGAAGAGAACTTTTACAGACACTAGAGAACAGAATTAAACCTAACCCAAGAGAAAAAAATACAAATCACAACCACCCACCCTTGTAACACTTGTTGTAATACCCTGCTGTCAATATTAAATTGTTCTGCTGCTCTATGGGCCAGGGATCAGTTTTGTTTTTTTTTTTTATCAGGGTGCTCAACCCACGCAGTTTCCTTACCAAAGGTCCCTACAGATCCAAAGAATGCACATTCAAACATTCAGCTGCATTTACCTTGTTTCTTTACTTGCTCCAAAAGCAGGTCCTTCATGGCTGCTTCCTCTGCAATGTCAGATGGGACTTCACCTTCACTGTTCACAGCAGCCACATTGGCTCCATGGCTGATTAAGTACCTACACAGTTAAGACCCATACCAATTTATTAGACTTTGTGGCCAGAATTCAAGTGAAAAACAGCAGACTGAACAGCAGGAAAGAAAAATTTTGCTTTCTAATCCCAGATAGTTTTACTTGGGACTTGTTTCATAAGCCTCAATTTCAAGTCGAAACACCCAGCTACTAATTGTTAAGGGCTCTCTCCTCTCTACTCAGAGGTCCATGCAAGCAGTTGCTAGTTCTATGCGATGTCAGTTGCTACTTGACATAACTAGTCAAAAAGCCCCCAGTTCATTTAGCAATATGCCTGTGCTGGCACTTTAAAAGGAGCTTTGAACAAGCAGGACTGGTCTTCAATACATTTTTTATATTTGTCGCATTCTTTCAGCCTGCATGTGTTTTGAATGCAACAGAGAAGTAAAATTCTGGAGCATTTCACACATGCACACAGGATGGGAGAGGGGCAGGAAAAGATTCATAAAGGTAATTAGTATTCAAAGTTTCTAAGTAATAGGATATCTAAAGCAACAAACATCATAAAAATGTGTTTTAAACACCCTAGAAACTTCTGTATACTCTGGGTTCAGATGCAAATACGGCAGCTGTGCCTCAAACAACAGATTCATTGCTCTTATTAGCTACATGTTATCTTGGAAGGTGTTTCACAACGCACAGAAATCATGAAAGCATTTGTGCCAGAAGTCTGCTATTTTGTGTCTGAATTCCCCCTAAATTGCCTCAATTAAATGTTATGCAGCCCAGTTGGTGTTCCCTCATCCTAGTTATTTCTACAAAAAGAAGCATGCCATTCCCCATTGTGTAATAATGCACGGGCCACTAAGAGCCAAGGATAAAAGTCACGTTTAAAAAAGCAAGGAATACAAAAGTCATCCGTGTAAAACAATTTTTGGGTTACGATGCAGAGTGAAGGAGCAAGTAAGGTGCTAACAGCACTTTTTCTTCATTTGCTCTTGTACATGAGCCAGTCTGTTTTCAGAAGCCCAGCTCAAAATGCAACTGCTTAGCTTTGCAATTCTTTAATTCCAATTATTCTGTTTCCCTAAACAGAACCCCACAGTAAACTTGTTAGCTCACAGCAAGTACTGGGGAAGATCTTCCAACAGTAGATAAAAAGGTTATTAATCCTACGTGGGCAAAGTGAACATCGTGAAGTCAGCATTAGTTCAATCCTTGAAAAAGCAGCAAGCATGCTCAGAGAAGTGAGAAGCTTCGTGAGAGCCAAGGCTTTTACTGGGAGATTTTGTTTAGTGGGCTTTTAAATATCTGATTTTTAAAGAACCGACTAGACCAGTGGTTGGCAACCTTTTACCACCATGGACCACTAACCCATCCCCTACCACAGGCCACAGCCTCACACTCCCCAACAATAAGCAGATGCTACAAGGAGAATAGATAGAAAAATGTCTTTTGTACCTTGGTCTCAATACTCAATGCCTTTTTTATCTTGGTCTTCACAGGCAAAGTCAGCTCCCAGAGTACTACGCCGGGTAGCAGAGTTTGGCGAAAAGGTGAGTAGCTCTCAGCGGTGAAAGAACAGGCTAGGGGCTATTTAGAAAAGCTGGACATGTACAAGTCCATGGGACTGTTTGCAATGCATCCAAGGGTGGTGAGAGTGTTGGTTGATGTGATCATAGAGCCACTGGCCATTATCTTTGAAAGCTCGTGGTGATCAGGGGAGGTCCCGGACGACTGGAAAAGAGCAAATTTAGTGCCCATTTTTAAGAAAGGGAAGAAGGAGGATCCAGGGAACTACAAGCCAGTCAGCCTCACCTCACTACCCAGAAAAATCATAGAGCAGGTCCTCAAGGAATCCATTTCTAAGCATTTGGAGGAGGAAAAAGTGATCAGGAACAGTCTACATGGATTGTTGGCAAACTGATTGCCTGCCTTCTATGATGAAATGACTGGCTTTGTGGATGTGGGGAAAGCAGTGGACATGATATACCTCGATTTGAGCAAGGCTTTTGATACCATCTCCTAAAGCATTCTTGCAAGCAAGTTAAGGAGGTGTGGGTTGGATGAATGGACCTTAAGGTGGATAGAAAATTGGCTGGATAGTTGAGTTGAGGACAGAATAAGTAGTGATCAATGGCTTGATGTCTAGTTGGCACCCAGTATCAAATGGAGTCCCCCAGGAGTTGGTCCTGGGGCTGGTTTTGTTCAATATCATCATTAACAATCTGGAAGATGGGATCCCTTAGCAACTTCCTCACCAAGCTGAGGGAAGTTGTAGATACGCTGGAGGGTAGGGCTAGGATTCAGAGTGACCTACACAAATTAGAGGACTGGGCCAAAAGGAATCTCATGAAATTCAACAAGGACAACTGCAAAGTCCTCCACTTAGGACAGAAGAATCCCATTCACCACTAAAGGCTTGGGACCAACCAGCTAAGCACCAGTTCAGCAAAAAAAAGACCTGGGGGTTACACTGGACGATAAGCTCGATTTGAGTCAACAATGAGCCCCTGTTGCCAAGAAGGTTAACAGCAAACTGGGCTGCATTAGTAGGAGTGTTGCCAACAGGGCAAGGGAAGTAATTCTTCCCCTCTATTCAGCAGTGGTAAAGCTATATCTGGAGTACTGTGTCCAGTTTTGGGTCCCCCACTACAAAAAAAGATGTGGACAAATTAGAAAGAGTCCAGCAGAGGACAACAAACATGGTTAGATGGCTGGGGCACATGACTTCTAACGAGAGGGTGATGAAACTAGGCTTATTTAGTCTGCAGAAGAGAAGACTGGGGATTTAATAGCAGCCTTCCACTACCTGAAATGTGACTGCAAAGAGGATGGAGCTAAACTGTTCTCAGTGGGGACAGATGACAGAAAAAGGAGCAAAGGTCTCAAGTTACAGCAAGGGAAGTTTAGGTTGGATACCAGAAAAATCTCTCACTAGGAGGGTGGTAAAGCACTTGAATGGATTATCTAGAGAGGTGGTGGCATCTCCATCCTTGGAATTTAAGGCCTTGCTCGACAAAGCCCTGGATGGGATGATCTAGTTGGGGATGGTCCTGCTTTGAGCAGGAGGTTGGACTAGATGACCTTCTGAGGTCCCTTCCAACCCTAATTTTCTATGAATCTATGAAAAAGGCAACTGCTGCTGCCAGATTCCCTGAGTTGCACTGGGCCAGATCTACCCTATCAACAGGACAGATCCAGCCCATTAGCCATACACTGGCAGCTCCTATACTAGACAAAGATGGCTTCTCCCATTTTATATTTGTATACTTACAGTGAAGAAATCATAAGGAAGAAGGGATCACTAAACCATCTGATCTGAACACAGTGACACTTATTTTAAAAGAGCTCAATTAACAGGTACTTTCATCTCCTTTTCCATTTTTGTCAGACATGGAAACACAGGATTAGATTTTGAAGAAAAAGGAATTGTGTCAGTAGCATATGGATGACACAGCAGCCCAGAAGTTCTTGCTTCCCTGTAGAGGCTTCAAGCATACTTCAAGCTGTGTTATTCTAATGCCCCATTTGTTAAATTTTAAAATGATATTAAATGCAATTTCTCTGCAAACCCATCATAAAATGTTAGTGTGAATGTAAATAAGAAGTCAAGGTTTACAGTGATGCCAATTCATCTCAATTTCAGTTTTACATCTGTGCAGTGTATTTAAACACATGGGTTTTACACTGCACTGAAGTACATCAATATAATTACCCAAATGTATGCTTCTTTGATGTACACAGACAGACCAGATCAAAAAAATATTTCGTTAACAATGCTCTTTTTAAATTTAAAAATTGTGCACGAGTCCTCTGACAGAGGGTGCATACCTGCTCAGCAACTAGTCTAGCTGCAGCCAATTTGTGCTTTGCTAGATTTCCCCATGCATTAATATTTACAGTTGTCCATCATCATGCTTCGCTTTTGCTCAGCACATTTCACCAAAAATCTGATGTTGCTTAAAGCACTTCATATGTATTCAGAAGCACTGGATTAGATGACCCCTGGAGCTCCCTTCCAACCCTGCTTCTCTATGAACAGAATTCTATGAAGCAGACTTATTTCATCTTGCACCCTATCCTTGAAAATTAGAGCATCAACATCAGTATGGCACTTTTTTTCCCTGTTAACTTTGTTTCCATGATATGCTGTTTAGTCAGAAAAGCCACCACTCTGAAGGAGGAAAAGATGTGGAAAGTTGTTACTATACACACCCCTGACAGCCTGAAACTCACTCACTCTGCTATATTCAGATAGCCACAGGAAGCCACAGCATGAAGAGGGGTCCAGCCCTCATTATCCTGTTGGTTTACATCCGCTCCATTTTCTACAAGGAACTTCACCATGTCCAGGTTCTCGTCTATACAGGCCTTGGAAGAGGAGGAAGAGAAAAAAAGAAGAAAAGAAAGAGTGGCATTAAACAGAATGAACAACTTAAGTCCATCCGGTAAAGGTTTGTCTATATGAGAAGTTAAGACATTAAATAAAACTACGAAGTTCACTTATACACTTTCACTTAACAGCTTTGATTAGTCTTAAACTCTGAGTGCCCCAGCATAAGTCCTAAACTTCCTTATACCTACCTCTCATACCTGCACATTTTGTTTTGGTCTATTCTCTCTCTCCCTCACATTCCTATTAATCAGGAGAGGGTAAACACCCTATAAAGGGATCCCTCGGTACGAGTCTTAGAGGAGCTTGATGGAATAGCAAAGTTGGGCAAAGTTGTATATTTACTTAGATCAGGCTGTTCCAGAAAAACGTCAATGAAGTAAACTGAAGCGCAAGGTAAGCCAAAGTATAATTTCTAAAAAAAAGTCCTAAGAGTCATTCTTGCAGTAAAGCAGGACATCAGCACACTGAATATTTTTCTACTTTACTTTCACTGTGGAGTCATCTGTAGAGTTTTACCAAGGAGTCCTGCGTATAAACAGCACTCTGACTCATTCATTTATTCCAAGCAGTATCTGTTTACTGATTAAAATGAAGACCATTTGGATTTGCTTGTGACGCAAAGCCTATCCTGCTACTGAAATATGAGTGAGATTATATATCATATGCATCAAAGAACATTCCACTTGACAGAATCTTTATCAGTTAAGATATTGGCAGAAAAGAACTCAGCTTAGCTGTCAGACTCCAAACTAAGTTTGCAGAGCTAATGTAAGTAGGAATAGCTTGCCTTGAACATAAAGCAGGTTCAGTTTGGAAACTGCTTACAGACATGGACCCTCAAAGGCCATTTACACAACTGCTTCTCAAACTGACCCAAGATTTAAAGGTTTTGTTTCACCATGAATATAATTTTGATAACTGCAGCCCTTTATCTTTGACAAAATGTATCCAATAGCTGACACAGGAAAAATTCTTCCAGGAAGTTTTAAAATGTTTTGAAAACAGGCAAGTTCCAAAAGAGACTATTTGAAATTTTAGACACAGAATCACAGAAAGTTATTACCATTATTTACTCAACTCCAAGACAACGCTTCTCTCCCATTTAACATGGGAAAAAGCATCCCTCATCTTGAAATCGAGGACAAGGTGATGGTGGAGAGGGACGGGGAGGAGCAGCTGCTGCGGGCCCGACTCAGAGTTAGGGCAAGTGCTACAACTACTGCCTCCCTGCCACAGCCTCCCCACCCTGCCTCCCCTCCCACTGACCCTCCACTGCAGCGGAAGGCGGGGGGGAATGACTACAACTGCCCACCTGCTGCTGCCGCCAGTGTCTGCCAGACCCAGTCCCATTGCCTAGGCACACCAGCCTATCCACCCTGCACCCACTGCTGGGGGCACCAGGTGGAGTGGGCGGGTGGGGTCTCCATGCAGACTGGCCCAGGACCCCTGCAGGCAAGGTACGCTTGGCCAGGTGGATGGGATGGGGCCATGGGTGGGTGGGGAGTGGCATCTGGGAGCAAGACAGGTGGCTGGGGGTTGGGATTGTGGGGTGGTGACAGCACAGGGCCGGGGACTGGGGCACACGGCAGAGGTGCAATCTGCTCCCGCCATAACTGGCAATCATCACAGGGACATTGGGGGAGGGAATCACAGCTCTGCACCAGGCCCCAGCCCAGAACTGTCACCACCACACAACCCACACCCTGCCTGCTCTATGGAGTACCCCCAGCAGTAGGTACAGGACAGAAGGGCCTGGGGCCAGATGGGATCAATTGCCCCCTTCACATTCCCCCACCCTTCGCACTGGGTCAGCGCCCCCCACCCCACCCTACAACACCTCACCAAAACTCCTTAAGCTGCCCGCCAGCCCAAATAATTGCTTACCCCGATGTACACTATAGGAATCCACAGGCATCCTATAGGACCTAATGAAGCCAAAATACCATGGCTGTGGTATCACAACCTGAGAAGCCACTTTCTCCTTTAAAAAATAACCATACTATAGCAGACCACATCACTTAAATCTTTAGGTTTAGGTTAGTAAGGAATTTATTCCCAAGATCCAAGCTGTTAAAACTATACAGCAGTGGAGCATACTCCCTAAGGGGAGATAAGGAACATCCTTCAGTGAAGTTTCTTCCCCCAAGAGGAGACCAGGTTTGATAGGGACAGTTTAGGAACAGAATTACTGCATGGGGCTGGACCTGGACTCTTACGGTCCTTTTCAAGCCTATGATTCTAGGCACCTAAGCATGCAGGCAGTTTTGTGGACAGTTCACTTGGACTTAAAAATTTAAGATGCCTTTAACATGCTTTTGAAATGTTCTATGTCGTTTCTGAGTGGGACCCTAGATCTTCATAAAAATTCAATCCAGTGTTTCCATCAGGCAAAGTATACTCTGTACATACATGATACTAAACACAGACATTAAGTTGTTTTGAGACATGGAGTAAAAATAGACCGCATTGCTTCAAAATTCGAATTTAAAGTTGGGAGAACCCAAACTGCATACTTCCAAGTTTTCTATTTTTTCAGTGTAACAGCTGCCTGCAAAATACAAATTATTTTTTAATTTGAGATAATACTTCTCTACCCAAGTGTCAATGGAATTGAGATTATAACACAACTTAAGTATTACATTTTGGCCAGGAAATACAGGTATTGGGAGCTTTTTTCAATTAAACTGATTGCAGCTGAAACTCTTGTATTGCTCTAATAGAAAGCAAAATGACAGGAATTTTAAAACCTAGTTATGTCAGCTCTCAGACTACTGCACTGGCCAGCACAGTTTGGGGAGGAGGTGAGCAGCCATAAGTACTGAAAAAACAGGTTAGGGACTACTTAGAAAAGCTAGATGGGTACAAGTCCATGAGGCTGGATGGGATGCATCCGATGGTGCTGACAGAGTTGGCTGAAGTGACTGCAGAGCCATTAGCCATCATCTTTGGCAATCAGGAGAGGTCTCGGATGATTGAAAAAGGGCAAACATAGTGCCCATATTTAAGAAAAGAGAAAAAGGAGGATCCTGGGAACTACAGACCAGTCAGCCTCACCTCAGTCCCTGGAAAAATCATGGAGCAGATCCTCAAGGAATCTATTTCTAAGCACTTGGAGGAGAAAAAGGTGTTTAGGAACAGACAGCATGGATTCACCAAGGGTAAGACATGCCTGACCAACCTGATTGCCTTCTATAAGATGACTGACTCTGTGGATGTGGGGAGACCAGTGGATGTGGTATACCTTGATTTTAGCAAGACAAGGTTCCTTGGGTGAATTTGATATCTTTTATTAGACTAACCCAAACGGTTGGAGAATGGTTATTAAGCAAGCTTTCAGGTTCAGAAACCCTTCGTCAGGCTAAGGAAGCTTCAGCAGTTGGTGATTTTAGCAAGGCTTTTGATACAATCTCACACAACATTCTCTCAGGCAAGCTAAAGAAGTACGGGCTGGATGAATGGACTTTAAAGTGGATAGAAAACTAGCTGAAGCATTGGGCTCGGAGAGTAGTAACCAATGGCTCGATGACTACTTGGCAGCCGGTATCAAGTGGAGTGCCTCAAGAGTTGGTCCTGGGGTTGGTTTTACTCAAGGTCTTCATCAATGACCTGGTAGATGGCGTAGAGTGCACCCTCAGCAAGATGACACCAAGCTGTGGGGAGTAGTAGATACACTGGAGGGTAGGGTAGGATTCAGAGAGACCTAGACAAAATTGGAGGATTGGGCCATAAGGAATCTCATGAGCAGGGATCCTTGTTTTCTCCGATTTAAAAAGCATCCCCAAATTTTTGGTTTAAAAACAAGTAACCCAAAATCCACATTTTTCCATGATTAAAATTAAACACCACTAATAGAGAGAGCTATATAGTGGTGTTTCATTTTAATCATGGAAAAATGTGGATTTGGGGTTACTGTTTTAAAACCAAAAATTGGACATTTTTTTAAATCAGAGAAAACCAGGATCCCTGCTCAGGAGCTTCAACAAGGACAAATGCAAAGTCCTGTCCTTAGGATGGAATAATCCCATACACTGGTACAGGCTGGGGTCCGACAAACCGGGCAGCAACTCTGCAGAAAAAGACCTGGGGGGTTACAGTGGACAATAAGCTGAATATGAGCCAGCAGTGTGTCCTTGTTGTCAAGCAGGTTAACATCATATTGGGCTGGATTGATAGGTGTGTTGCCATAAGTTTGATGGAAATGATTATTTGCCTCAATTCAGCGCTGGTGTGGCCACATCTGGAATACTATGTTCAGTGTGTCGTCCCCCCCACCCCTAGAAAGGAAGTAGACAAATTGGAGAGAGGCCAGCGGAGGACAACAAAATGGTGAGGGGACTGGGGCACATGACTTATAAGGAAAGATGGAGGGAATTGGGCTTACTTAGTCTAGAGAAGAGGAGATTCAGTGGGGACTTAATAGCAGCCTTCAACTCCTTGAAGGGTGGTTTCAAAGAGGATGGAGCTGGACTGTTCTCAGTGGTGGAAAATGACAGAACAAGGAGCAATGGTCTCAAGTTGCAACAAGGGAAGTTTAGGTTAGACATTAGGAAGAGTTTTCTCACTAGGAGGTTAGCAAAACATGGGAACAGGTTACCAAGGTCATGGAGCTCATTTTCCTGAAAAGGCAGGGTATGGAGCCCAAGGAGAGATGGTAGCTTGAGCATTAAGAGGTGCTATGCTATATGAGAGGTGGTGGAAGCATCCTTGGAGGTTTTCAAAACCGATCTAGACAAAGCTTTGGCTGGGATGATCTAGTCAGGATGGTTCTGCTTTGAGCAGGGGTTGGACACCAGATGACCTCCTTAGGTCCCTTCCAACCCTAACTTTCTATGATATGTCTGTCTGTAACAACCATGTAACAACCATGGTCTTCCAACTAAATTAAACTAAAAAAAAAACGTTGGAGTACTGCATCCAGTTTTGGGCTCCACAATTTAAAAAGGATGTGGAGAAGCCTGAGAGAGTGCAGAGGAGA